TACAATATTTAATGTGTTTTAGACGGCAAAGCTATTGTGGACGGTATTTTAAAAAAAATTGGGAGGTGGAATTATGTTATTTTGGGAATATGTACCAATGAATCTAGAGTTATTGACGTACGGGGAATCAGTCAGAGAAGGCTGGGCGGGAGACTTAAAAGATGTGGGGATGTAGTCTTCGAACATTGGAATACTAATGGAGTAAGGACAGGGATAGGCTTGCTGGTAGTTAATTTGTGGAGGAGTAGGTGGAGAAGGGGGTTGGGGGGAGGGTAGAGGCTAGTGGGGGAGGGTAGACAGCTATAAGAAATAAAGGGTGGGAAACCAGGTCCAGGTTGGAAGTCAAAGCAGTCAGGTTGACTTACGTGAGAGCAACTGGCCGTGAGTGGTGAGAAGTGTGAACTAGGTTGAGCTCAGTGACTTAGGATGATACACGTACAGTCTTTTTACAGGATATATAATGGGGCTTTGGTAAGCAACCGGTACGTAGGACAGAGAATTATTTGGGGACATAATTGGATCTGCGTGGTTTGTAGATGAGTTGGGCTCTAAAGGCTTGGTAGATCTAACAGAAGGCGGCATAGGCCTAAATGGAATTGTACTACCTTTCCTTTGAGCCGGATCTCGACTTATTTTTGGGATCACACCGTTCTGGCACCATGCCACAGTTTATTTAAATGTAGAACTTGTTATACCCTGTTGAGGTCTGGAAGATATCAGTCCAGCTGATTACGACGAATTTTCGTGCGCCCTACGGGAAGCTATCAGGAGGATACGGGACGGTAACTGGGGCTGCTGCTAATATGGAGGCCGACGAATGCGTTAAGTGGCTTGGCTGAGAGGGAGATATAGAAGTAAGGGGGAGGAGTGAGTCGGATTTCGCAGGGCCAGGATTGGCTGAATCCTCACGAATACTTGTATTATGACAGAGTTGACGAGTATTTGATTGATAAAATGAGAATTTACGTGAGAATAAAGACCCAATTATACTCTCCATGGAGGTGAAATCATTGTTTCCAAGGAAACTCTAGAGTTTGTGCCGCGTAGATATCTCAAGCCTAATTCTTCAGATTCCCTTGTTCCTCATTTTCTTCAGAACAGACTGAAAAAGTTGAGGCGACAGCTGCGTGACCCATCCACTAGTTCCTTATCAGTTCATCTTAGAATCACAGAGATTTTTGAGATGGCCTTAAGGATGCGTCAAGCGCGCGACAGACAAAGAGAATCAATTGCTATCAGTGATTCGAACCCTGGCAAATCCGTCCCTAACATCTTCCGTCATCGGTCCTCCTCCAAGCGTGGTCACGAACTTCCACCCCTGCTAAATGATAACAAAGTCTTCCTCACCGATGACACTGACAAGGCGGAGTTGTTTAGTGCTTTCTTTGCAAAACACATTGCTATCGAGTCCGATCCGGTCCCTTTCTTTCGATCACTTTCAGATAGGACATTTAGTACAATTGATGCCTCCTCAGATCTCATTAAGAAACACATAAGCCGTTTGAAATACTCACACTGCTCTGGAACGGACGGGGTTCCGAATTTGATTAGTAAACAAGCGTCCGACCTTCCCATACTGCTAACTCATTTATTGTCTGTTTATATTTCAAAAGGATTCTTTCCTGAAACATGGAGAACGTCAATTATCATTCCCGTCTTCAAGTCAGGATCTCGATCTGGTGTTAATAACTACCGGGGCGTGCACAAAACGCCGTCTCTAGCAAAGCTTCTTAAAAGGATTATTTTCAATGAAATTCTTGACTTCTGTCTAGCTAATCGGCTTCTGAGCTCTAGTCAGCCCGGATTTTTCTATGAACGATCCTGCGAAACATGTCACTTGGCTTTTCTTAATCTAATCACTTCTCTTCGTAATGAGGGGCAATCAGTGGTAGTTATTTACTTTGATCTTAGAAGAGCCTTTGACAAGGTGCCCCATAGACGTCTTTTAGTAAAATTGGAAGCTCTCGGCATCCGGCCGCCTCTACTCCACTTCATCAGGTCCTATCTGTCCAACCGATATCAAAAAGTCATGGTCGGTAATAGCTACTCGACACCTCAATCGATCATGAGTGGCGTATTTCAAGGTACGGTTCTGGGTCCGCTACTCTTCCTTCTGTACATCAATGATATTTCGACTGAACTCGGAAATTCGCAAACTTTTACTTATGCCGATGATCTCAAGTGTGTTAACTCATAATCTAAGGACACTGCAAATGTTTGTTTTGAAAAAGTCAATGCCGATTTACTACGATTAAGCAGATGGGGTTCGACATGGCAGATGGAGTTTTCATCATCCAAGTGTAATTTCATGTCTTTTGGTCCTGCCAAACTTGCTGGTCCCACAATTTTTCAGAATAACCCACTCTCAGATTGCCTCACCATAAAGGACCTAGGTCTAAGTTATACAAATAAGCTTGCTTTATCACCTCATGGAGATCGAATCTCTGCCAAAGCCGCGCAGATATGTGGATTCATATCGCATAATATTTTCCTTCCGGAAATGAAGCTAAGACTTTATCAAATGTTTGTTCTTCCAGTCCTCGAATACTGCTGTCCTTTATTCGGTTTAATGAACGCCTGCGACCGTAAAAAGTCGAAAATGTTCAAAGGGTTTTTACCCGGAAACTGTTATCTGAAGCTGCGTCCGGTATTTCTTATACTCAGAGATGTCAGCTGGCAAACATTAAGTTTTTGTGGGTTACAAGACTCGAAGCTGGCCTTTGCTTCCTTTTTCGCATCAACTCTAGCTCCAGTCTTCCGCTCATTGACACTCTCACTCCGAGAGATCGGTCTTCTGCCACGCACAACTCCTGCATGGGGATTCCGCCGCCTCTTTGTACTACATCTAAGCGCTCCCTCTTCTTTGCTTCCAAATATGCCTTCCTTTGGAATAATCTTCCGCCTAAAATTAGATTATCGCCTAGGTTACTGATATTCAAGTCGAAATTAAGCAACCATCTTACACCGGAAAGCATAAACGCACTGTTAACGGTCTCATTCCGAACACTCAGATTCTTGACTTCGAGAAGGGTCCTCCTGGGATTTAGTCGTAGATTAAGTGGTAACTCTTAAATATATCATTAGAAACCCCTTTCTCGATTTGGTTTCTAAATCCACTGCTATCACTCCTCCCTCATAGCGACAATTTTCGCGGTTTTTGATGTCATCTCCCGCATTCCGACCTCATGCGGTCTGTCGACGCTCACGGCGGAACCCTCAGTATTCACCGTCTACTAGTAGTTTGGTCGTACCTCCCTTCCCAACTGCTCGGCTGAGCTCGAAGCGTGCTGTGGCCGATCGCATCTGGGTTCTTCTCGTCTGGCCTCTTTGAAGCGAATAGTCTCATGTGGCGTATCAGTCCGGCCCAGACGATGTCAATTGTGAATCCCGTACACAACACCACATGCAGGCCAGTCCTGTCTGACCCGCATACGTACCCCTCAAGGCTGACATTTATTGCTACCCTGACGATGACCGACAACAATCCGTTATATACCGCCACCTAGAGGCCATTTCTGCTCGCTTTTTCTGTCATTATTTTTATTCAGGTTTTTTTTTCTCCTGTAAAATTAATCCAATCATTTTTAACTTTTTGTACGGATTTTTTTTTCACCCCTCAATAATCATGTTTCTCAGTGGACTACTAATTCAAAAACGATGAATTGCATTTTGTAAAAATTCGGCCTGCCTCGTCTAAAACTCACATGTAAATTTATTTTAACTTGCTTTGATGGGACCCCGACGGGTCTTTAATAAAAAATTATCTATCTATCATGACAAAGGAAACATTTCGCGTTTTCCAGACAATCAGAAACACGATCTCGATGGAGAAAATGTTCTGACTCGGCCTGGCGCTTGAAATAATGTGGAGTGCATGCGCGCTCGACTCTTGTCCCAGTACCAACGCGGTAGAGAAGGAGAACATGACCGGCCAGTCGGGCTCGAGGGGAGCAACCAATGGCGAGGCGCCGCGATCATGCTGGCAGCATTCTAGACAAAACGCATTTGGGCTGCAGTGGTTGACTGGCTCCTGCTTTTGGGAGTGTAGGTACTCCCAACATCTCCCCTCCAAGTAGGTAATTACCGCTTTTGGCGTGGAATGACCTGACTCGGTAGTGTTGATCAGCGCATGCAGTTTGTCCGGCATTTTAGTCGTGGTTTTTTGTCTGAATAAGCGAGGAAGTGACTAATACCGAGGACGATAAATCCGAAGGGATGCAGCAGTGGGTTCGGGTAACGACTGATCTACCGGCATGGCGAAAGTATCTAGTAAGATGTCAAGAGGGAGTGACAGCACCGAACCAAGCCCGGTTGTGATGGCGAACCCAGATTTCCCCACCGTCGACATCAAACAATAAAATACCTCTGTGCGCTGCTATGGTGGTCTCAGTTCAGTCTGGGAACCCAGTTCAATAATCACGAACGAAGACAGGTGTTCCGACGGAAAGCTTGCTAAGAGAGACTGGAGAATTCTGTGCGGGCTGCACACCGGTAGGAAAGAATTCATGAAACGTTGTACACAGTTTTCGCCCATAAAGTCTTCGAAAGGAGACACGTCACCAGGGGACGCCGGGTTCGATTTTGTCCTGTAGGAAAGCATGAGCGTCTGGACCACCTCGTTCGTGGTCCCGTTCCCATGAGCTTTTAAGTGGGGTCCCTTGGACGTGTTGACAAAACGCACCGCCTGAGCGTTAGACTGGGGAGGGTAGGGCGGAGAACAAAATTTTGGACGTTGTATTAGCGGCAAAAATCCTTAAACTCCGATAAATTAAACTAAGAGCCATTACTCGAAACTGGCACTTCCGGTAGACCATACTGGCTAAAGGTGCTTCGTAAAAGGCGATAATGACAGATGCGGTCGCTGGATTCAGCTGAGCGATCTCGTGCCACTTCGGGTATGCGTCGGCCAAAATTAGGTAGGAGACCCCGTTAAATGGACCAGCGCTGTCGATATGCACGCGTGACGAAGGCCTCTCTAGTGGTTGCCAGGGTATTGACGGTTAACGAGGCGGCATCTTGGCAGCTTGATGACATCGAAAAGAGAGTCGAACCAGGTCGTCCATATCGCTGCCGATACCCGGCCAGTATGCAAAATTGCGAGCAATTTGGTTAATTCGGCTGGTAACAGGATCAGCCGCATGAAACTGGCGTAGTATAGCAGGCCAAATTGAAGATGGGACTATCACACGGTCTGCAAACATGGGGCAGGAATCAACCACATATAGCAATTCTCGGCGGAAGAAGAGCTGGCGAAGATCGCCAGTGAGAACAGTGGTTGGCCAGCAGGTCTGCACGTAGGTGATGGCCTGACGGAGAACAGGATCCTGTTCAGTAGCACGTCGAATGTCCACGGCATTATCAGGAATACCCCGTATGGCGTCTGATAGCTGACTGCGCACATCGTCCTCAATCGAAAGAGCAGCAGTCATTGCGTCTTCTTCGGGTCCCTGATGATTGCAGACGAGGCGAGAAAGAGCGCCAGCCTGACCAAAATCCGTAGCGCGACAGTAGCAAATGACGAAATCGTAACGAATAAGAATGGTTGACCATCGCTGAGGTCTGTTGGCTGAATAGACAAGAGTGCCCTTCATGGAACCAATGACTGACAGCAATGGTTTGTGATACGTCAATAACGTTAAGTGACGACCGTACAACAGTTTGTGGAACTTCTTGAAGGCAAACACGAGTGTTAAAGCCTCCTTCTCTCTTTGTCGCAGTTCTACTCCGCAGGAGTTAGCATGACAGATGCATGCATGATCGCCTTCTTAGGCCCGTCAGGAAACGTACTTGAGATGACGGCACCAACTCCGTGTTTTTTCAGTTTATTTGCTAAGGATAGTAGGCAAAGCCTTCGAAAACCCTATTGATTACATGTCAGCTCGTTAGAAATAACTGCACGCGAACAATGAACATATTCGCTATTAAAACAGTACTTGGTTCATTTGAAAAGCATCGTCTCAGAGAAAAACTTCGCGATGTCGCGGGGTATTGGGCTCGGATTCGGACTGTCGAGGGAAAACAGGGGACACAAATACTCATCCAAGAGTTTCTTAAAGATTTGCAGAGACGTCGCATTATCTTGGCGCATTTGAAACTCCTGGCTGTCTTGGCCCATTCCAAACTGCTGATTGTCTTCTGAGGACTCCTCCGTAAAAACGGACTGAAAAACTGAGACATTAATTGCACTTTCTGTGGTCTTTCAACTAATAAGTTTCCGAGGCTTTACTTTAGACACGCCATCTCATCCCTATATTTTCTCCTACTGCGGATGAGCCCGCACAAAATCTTGGGACATGTAATGGATTCTGCTATCAGTCGGCGCTCGAAAGAAGCTCTAACAACCCGTATTTGTTTGCGGCATTGTTTGCGGTTGAAAGCATCTGCAACAACAACGATCGGCAGCGTCGGGTTGTAGTGCGTGAGCAGCAGATCTGAACTCAACATCAACTTTAGCTGCGCGTAGGTCTTTTAACGGTCGGAAAAACAGCATGAGAGAGCACCTTTCTACAGCAGACGGCCGAGCGGGACCCATATCCATGCTAAGATGGTAGAAGGGCACTATAATAGCTGATCAAACCAAGGAACGAACGGAGTCCGATGCACTCTTATGTGCAGGCATCCGTTGGATGGTACAAATGTTTTCAAGATCTGGATGGCGAACAATGACATCAAACCGAATCCGAGATATTTGATGGAGTCGAGCAAGAAATGTCACTTGTCGGCCCTCAGACGGGAGCCGTATTCCTGCACGCGTTCTAGTGCTGCACACTCTCGGTCTTGCAGCTCAGCTGGGGAGCGACCCACGAAGGTGAGGTCGTCCAGGTACCCAGCTATGCCAGAGATGCCAGAGAACATCGCGCTCATCGTTTGTTGGAATAGGGTCAACTTCTCGCATATACGGGCCAATCAGGCCCGAGAGTAGCAGCCAAAAGCGAGGCGTCACGATCATGCAAACAGCATGCTAGACAAAGGCACGTGCCTCCAGTGATTGTCCGGCGCGTGATTTTCGGGAGTATGTGCACCCCTAATACAAAGCTTAAATCAACCTCAATTAGTGAAAACAACTTAACTAAAACGAGGGGATGTTTGTTGCGGGAAGACAAGCGTTCAACATCAGCTGTTTTTAGTTGAACCCACACAAGGGAAGGAAATCGACCGTAACATGAACTGGCCGTGCAGATCAAGTAACATTTTTGTCTATCACCAGATTCCGTACCGACCGGGTCGAGGCGTTTGCATCCGTGATAGGGAAAATCGAAGGTCCTCCCGTCGAACAATTTTCCCAGAATTGAAAGCATAGTTCCAAACTTTAGCATAGAATCGTTGCAATTTTAAAGTGCAGGCAGATGAAGCTGCCCATCAGTAACACTGGGTGATGAATAGCTAGTACTGCCTCCTTCCAAGCATAAAACTTCCACATGACTTTAGGAACACTCGCAGAAATCCCAGAAAACTCAACAAAACTCCGTTGACATCTATGTCAGATCACCAGACCAGAGTTCATACCCTCTAACAATTTACTCTGCGGACCTAGTTTGCCTCTAATGTTCTCCCCTGCTTACCACTCGAGATACCTTAATAGACGAGGGATCCGAAATTCCAAAAACCTTTCCACAGTGACATAAAAAATTAAAAAGACAGCTCTGTGACTCCTCCGCTAGTTATTTATCCCCACTCCAACGTTTTTAAGAAATTCGTGACCTTGTTAGTATAATGGAAAGTAGGAAGGCTATAGGTGCAGAACGCCCTCCATTAGAGACCCCGGTCAAAAAGCCCAAGTACTTCACAAGCAAATGGAAAAGCTTCAAAAGGCAGTTCCCTGAGTTACGATCGCCGACCAAGGACAAGTAATAAAAAATAACAACCAGGTAAAGAATTTATTCAATACTTACTTCTTAGCTGACTGTATAGTGGGAAATGAACCAATTCAACAACCAATCCGAACTAAGGGCATGCACCCTATGGAGGTCTGTTTAAGTGGGGAAACTGTTTAAACAATTGATTTACAACTTCCTTATCCCACATCGTGTAGTACAGATCAAAATCCCATGCGTGCAGAAATAAATAATCTAAACTCCAATACTTCTTCCTAGGCCATTCTCATTATTTCAATCAGATTCAATTTTGCCAGACATTTGAAAGTACTGGGGCAGTGCAACAATCCTTAAAAAATGTAAGCAGATCTGATTGCCGAAAATATTGTGGTATTCAGGAAGCAACGGCAATCACCGAACTCCTGGAAGAAATAAATAACAAATGAATGCTAGAATACCTGATAAACGTTAACCTCATACCCCCTCGTCACATGTCTTTCTACCTAAAAAGGTCATGTCGGTCAAATAATCTCACTTTCTTAGAATTCTGTCCCAGTAACGGGTATGACGAGAACACATTAACTAAGAATATATTTCAGTCATAAAAAGGCCTTTGAAAAGTTCTCACAAAGGACTAATAAAAAAGCTAATAAGTCACGGGGTTCGGTCCCCCTTTTGTCTTTCTTAGGTACCATCTTCAAAACCGATGTGAAGTAGAATAGATTCAAAACATGGTCTTAAAACCATCTTCTATAACTAGTTGAGTAATTTATGGCACTATCTTGGGTCCCCTCTATTTCTAATATATATTCAAGAAACCGCAAAACCGCACGTTTCGAAATTGTTTTCAAATTTTCGCCCTCGGAGGAATTTACTTACGTCGAGATTTCGACTCACTGGACGCTCTTAGAACCTGCCGGAATTAAGAATTAACTTTGCCTCGTCAATACCTTCGTCCCAACTTATCTCCTGCAGCACATTCACAGAACTCCGATCTTGAGCTTCTTCGTTCTTGCAATCCATAAAAGGCGGATTATCTGAAGAAAAATACATCTAACGCTTCTAGAAAGGATGAGTTGCTTTTCTAAAGTTAGACATTGTTTGCACCATCGTCTCAAAGTATTTGTCTCAATTTCTGCTCTTGGCAGCTTCTCGACCATACTTTTTAATTAAGCAAATGTATTGACTTTCTACCGAAAGATCGTAATAAAAGCCTTTCCTTCATACCTAAATTAACGTTCTCTGCGGCGAAGTTTATTCTTATGGATGTGGGAAAGTTGTCCAGGATTTTGGAGTCCGCGCTCGTTTTAAATTAACGCGCACCTGGGGTTCAAACCGGGGACCTCAAAAGTTGGAGCCTGCTCCGCTAACCCCTCCATTAGGGACGTACGTCGGAACAGCACAGCTAAAAGCTAATCTAATTCACCACTGGATAATCACGTAAGATATTCTTGTAATGATTGTCAAACGGTAGCCTGAGTTCATAGGAGACTGACAGTGTCCAACGGGCGCCAGAATAAACCTATTTTTTAAAATTTTATTCAGATGCATCAACTATAGGCGGAAGTTAGAAATCTGAAGGTGCTTATACGCAAGACTTTCTTCAGAGAACCGCCCAGTGTTATCTACGCAGAGGTTAACTCGGAGTAGAGCGAAACCCATCCCGTATAAGGAACCCTCCTAAAAGGAATCACGTGATGAATACGATATCTGCTATCAGTAGTCAATCAGCGGATTCCGATGAAAATAAGAATAAAAAGAAGACACTTAACACCACGGCGTAAGTTCGCCAGACTGCGAAAGAGTGCATATCCGTCTCGCCCGAAAATCATTCACGCGAAAAAAATGAAATGGATAAAGATGTGCCAACAAAGGAAGTGGAAAGAATGGGGCAGATGACGCTCGATCCTAATAACTCCCAGGCAGCGTGCTCATTATCAGTTCATCTAAGAATCGTTGAAATATTTGAACTAGCTTCGAAAATGAGGCTCGCACGAGATAGGCGTAGAGAGTCTTTAACTATTAATGTCATGCAGGCTTCTAAATCAGTTGCTCAGATCTTCCGTCAAAGACCATCTGCTAAGTCCCACCAAGTCATTCCGCCTTTGCTTAGTACTAGCGATGCCTTCATTACAGAGGAGTCAGACAAAGCAGGAATTTTAAATTCGTTCTTTGCCAAACATTTCACCATTAAAACTGGCCCAATCCCTTTAATTCCTCCGTTGTCTGATGCTTCTCTTAGCATCATAAATTTTTCTCCTGAATGTATTCAAAAACTGATAAACCATCTCTCGAACTCTCACTCAGTAGGTACGGCCAATATCCCAAACTCTTTTATAAAACAACTAAGAAATTTTCCTCCTCTGCTTAGCAAAATCTTTTCAGTATTTCTCGTAAATGGCTTCTTCCCTGACTATTGGAAAACTTCTATTATTATTCCAGTATTTAAGTCTGGCTGTCGTTCTGACGTACAGAACTATCGAGGTGTCCATAAAACGCCCTCTCTCGCCAAAATCTTTGAAAAAATTATCGCCGTAAAGGTTACCGACTTTTAATAATAATTTATTATTAAATGCCAGTTTACAGGCATTGTCAAGGGAAGCGATTAAACAAAAATCCGACCAGCAGTGAAAAAAAACTTCTGAGGTAAAGGAATAAAAATATAGTTGATGGTGGTTTTCATGGTTTCGAGGGTTCAAGAGAAAAAACTGCTGCTGGTAGACTTTCGACCGTCAAGAAGGGGGGGGGGTTGCACGTTATCGGAGATCATCGGACGT